GCTCTAGAGCCTTCCTGGGAAACTGAGCTCCTGGGGGTTATAAGGACTTTTCTGACACTCCAGGCCCTTCCCCTACCTTTGCATTGATTCATTGCTTCACTGATGGGTGGGGTGAGTTGTATTCTGGTGAATCTGTTAAATATTGTTGGGAAGGCTGTGCAAAATATGACTTACTGTGGAGTTATAGTTCAGCAGTGGCAATTTCGGACTCTTCCTATTGCAAATGGAATTAATTGAGATTGAATAGCAGGAGCTGCAGGCTCTTATGGAAAGACCAATTCTTCTCCAGCTGTTTCTGCATCTGTTTAATGCTACAGATTAATGGAGATAATCTGAGTCATACCTGTGCCAATCTCATGACTTTGATGGCATCATACCACTGTACAAAGAGATTACAGGAAAAGGATCAGGCCCAGAGATTATACAAACGTGTTAATCCTAAAGCCATGCTGCTAGTTGAATTGCTATAGAAAAGGGAAACATTTAAGTTCAGTCTGTGGAGAGCATCTGAATTAATAATGAACCCTGGCTGATAGAAATCCTCCCAAACCCAAGGAGGGGAGGAAGGGGCAAATCCCAAAGCAGCAAAGTTTGCAGTTAGGGGCTGCAAACCAACACTGAAGTGGCAATCATGTTTTGGATGCAATCAGGTGCTGGTAGCAGCAGCATCCCAGCTTCTCTTGCACTGGAAGCCTAGTTGGTGTATCTAATGGATGTGGTGCTAGGGGCAGTGTTGAAACTTCAAGTCACCAGAGCTATTGCAATTATGCAGTCAAACTTTCTGCAGAGGTTGACCTCATGGAGCCTGGTGGCAGCCAGAACAAAGAGGTGCACTGGGGCTGCTAATTGCAAAACAGCAAGAGTTCATTAAGTAATAAGAAGCTTTTAAAATACAGTAAGGAGTCTAAGAGAAGATATTTTTCTTTTAATGCATGATGATGAGGAGGTTTGTATGTTGCCTTCAGCACTGTTAAATCATTGAAACATCTATACTGTAATTTTACAGCTTGCTAGGCTAATAATACAGTGTTTTATTATCTGCAGCTTGTACGCTGCTATCTAATTACAAGTCTGATACAATAAAAATATGCCATGTCTGCTTATTCTCTTCTTTTTCCCTATTCTTCACCTTCCCCTCATTGTGAAGCTCCTTGCTTGCAGCCTGGCATCTGTTTCAAGTTGTTTTCAATGCCCAGAAACACGCATGCATGTAAGCAGCTGGAATGGAGATATAAGTCTTCAGGTGGGCTGCAGGATGCATTGATGGCTTTGGTTCAATACCTGCACTGCTTTGAGGAGCATTCAGACGTTACAGTGCTCTGATGCAAAGGCAGCAATTTGGGCTGAGCTCACAGGCTGCCAGGTCACGCAGATTCTTTTCTTGGAGAGCAGAGAGCATTGGGAAACGCATTCCGTGCTGCTGTTGTCTGTGCAAAGCTGCTGCAGGAGGTGGTTTATGTGTGCATATGCTGCGCTCTAGTGGCTTGTAGGGCTCTGAGGACATGGCTTTGGCAGTGCTGGAGGATGTGGCCAACCCAGACCTGTGCAGTGACTGTAACCAGTGGTTGGCACCCGAGAGTTCTCCTTAAGCTTGTGAGGTGTTGAGCAGAACTTGTCCGTGATGGTACTCTTCCAAATCCTTTCTTCAAGGAAAGGCCCTCTCATTTGCCTCTGCTGTAGCCCCATATGCACAATATTAAGCACTATTTTACTGTTGTAGCTCCCTCCTGCTTTACAACTCTGTCTTGTTAATCACTGTTTTCTTGTTAAATTTAATGGAGCGAGGCTAATTCTATGCTGCCTGAGATTTCAGCCTGGTGTCTTGGATCACACCTGGCCTATTTACTTTGTTTCCTCCATCTTCTTTTCTCGCCTGCTTGCTCTTCCAACCACACTTCTATATCTGGAGCTGGCCAGGAGCTGTGCATTCCTGGGGCATTAGCTCATGCTCCCCAAATGCCACTGTGTGATGGTGCTGCTTTGCATTCCTGGCTTATTAAAGAGAAGGCAGTGGTTTCCCAGCATCTCCCCTGGCATCTCCTCCAGGAGTTTTTTCATCTTCTCTCTCCATGGGAAAATACCTTGGCTCTATTCTAACTTAATTTTCCACTTCTTTCTCAAGCTGTTGCCCATGCTGCTAGATCAGCCAGGTACATTGAAAAGAGCCCAGAAAGTTCCCATAGGTGACAACCACTGCTGGGAGGAGCTGGATTATATTGGAGTGTGAGGAGGTGACAACAGAAGCACACATTTTTGACAGGTGTCATCGTGTGAGAGTGAAATGCTCATTCAAATGCCATGCAGTGAAAGTCTCCCAAGTTGCCCTGCTGCCAAAATTAAAGTGGATCCTCAGTGGCTTCTCCTTCTTTGAGTCTGCAGCTTTGGAGTGTGCTGAGAAAGTGGATTTGGGTGCATATTCATGTACATATAATGGGGTATGGACATAAAAAGACAAGTTGTCATTGGGATCTGCTAATTAAATTTGCTATGGCTTTCAGTGAGTTAGGCAGGTATGCATGGATTGCATCCAAGTACTGAATGAAACAAGGATTTGTTTGAAGGTTGGGGCAGTGCCTGTATCCAGACTAGAGTAAAACTAACACAAATGTGAATTGCTCACCTCAGTAACAGGGAGGATCAGACCTGCAAGCTTTGGAGCTGAAAAGCAGTGAGGAGTTATGGCTTTGGATCAAAGAATGGGTTTCCATGGGAGGGAAGCCACAACAAAGCCACACTGCTTGTGGTTCAGCTAACGATGAGCACACTCAGTGCTGGAGATGCCTATGGTAAAGGGAGCATTTCATTCCCTGCAATTCCTGCCTAGTGGAATCCAATTTTTCACCCATGAATAAACCTTGAGAACCACTTTCATTGCTGCACAAAAGAGTTGCTAGGCTTTCATATTCAGTTGCTTTATGAAGCTTTTTATGGACCTCATTCCTGGCCTCAATAATCATGTGGGAGGGCTATTTCTGTAGCTCACAACAAACTGAGGTTCTAATGAGCATGTTCAGGAGCTGCCCTCCTTGGGGTGAGCTCCATCTCCCCCAGTGCTCAATGCTGCTGTGGCTTCAGCACTGCTCTGATTCAATCCCCACATCTTTACATGGAGTCAGTGGGGAGAACGTGTCTCTTTATGGAATGTTTAATGAGCCAAAATGAACATGAAAGCATTGATTGGATCTTCAGTGACTTCAGAAAATTAATATCCCCATTTTCTGATCTGGGCACTGCGTGTGATAAGATGTTGACTCACTCAAAGGCACCACAAGACCCGAGGAAGTTTATCTGCTCCTGGTGCTGCTGGTGACAGCTGAGTTACGCAATGGCTGCAATCAGATGTGACTGTAGATCATCTTTTCCGCTCATATGAGAGTCACTGGATGGTGTTTTCCCACTTCTCTGATGATGCTGATTGCATTGGGATCATGGGATTATTGGGATTGGCAGCCACGCTCCAGAGCTACGTGAGCTGAGGATGCAGGTGGCTCTGGATCACCCACCCAGGGGGGTGATGTGGATTCCAGTGGGAGCTTCTGGTTTTCCCTGGAGGAGCCAGTGTCTGTGTCCAGCTGCACACACAGCTGGACGTTATAGTGGGGATGGAAGGTGCTGGCCTAACCAATGATTATGGGTAGAGAAGGATGCGGAGGACTCAGTGAGGTTCCCAGAGCCATTTGTGTGCAAAAAGAGGCCGTGTGTTGGGACAGCCCCACCTCTGAGGTCCACCAGGCGGTTTCTGGGGCTGGGAGAAGGGCTTTGGAAAGCCACCACTGCTTGATGGTGTCTACACTCCTCCCTTGCCAGATGTCTGCAGGTGGGTCCACCACTGCCTCTCCAAATACCATTCAATTTTACCATGCCAGGAAGGATTAGACAGGAGGTAATTACACTTACTACGGGGAGCGGACATCCAACTACTCATCCGTGAGGATGAGCGAGTCGATGCTAGTCACTGTGAGCATTGCACACAGGGCAGCTTGTACACGGAGCTATTAGGCTGTGTCGTGGGTTCCTCATGCCTTCGGGGCACACTTAGCATCTATATAAAAGGTCAGCTGCCATTAGGGCTCACTGGTCACATCACAACACCGTTCTCATCGGGGAGCTGGGTAAGTCTGCTTTGTGCTGAGCCTCTGCGGCTGTGGAAATGCAGATTTCTTGCTGCCTTTTTACATATGAAATGCTTTGTGGGTAAAGTTTTTAATGCTAGTGAGTGTGAATTGCTGCGTTAGTGTAGGAATGTGCTCTTGCTGTGTCTCCAGCTGGGTATCCGACCCCAAGGGCCACTTGTGAGCAATCTGAGGAACATCTGTTGGCAGTAATTGGGGTGCTGTTGCTGTAGTTTGCTTTTGTGGGTGTCTGACAACATGCAGAGCTGCTTTGGAGTATCAGGGATCACAGTGCTAGAAGAGCTGTAAGCAAGCTGTGTTTGGCTGTGGTATTGCTGCCCCTTAATTGGCTCTGGCTTCCTAATGAGGATGAACTTGGTGATGCTGAAACCAGGCTGTGAGCTTCTGTGTGTTTGTGGTGCTGTAGGGTCAGCAGGCAGTGTTGCCTTGGGTGCTGCTTGTTTCCTGCTGTGGCAAATGGGGTCGGTGGATCTGAGATGCATCTGGGTTGTGGCTTTTTCTCAACATGTCAGCAAGAGGTCACAGGTGGTCCCCAACAAAACCAGAGGGCAAAACCTGGGCTTTGTGGTTGGAAGGCAGCTCAGATGAGGAATTTCTCCTCTGACCTCAAAGATCAGTTCTTCCTTCTTGCAGGCCTAAGTGATGTAGAGTGAGATGAGGTCCAGGGGGATATTTCACGCCGTGTATCTCTGAATGTCCCTACTGTTAGATGTCCCCTTACTGCCATGTTTTTGAGTTATAAGTTACAGGTTGGGTGCAGCTCTTGGACTCCAGCATGGATGGATGCACCTCCAGCACCCACTGGGTGCCTCTCTAAGAGCTCTGCTCTCTCACCTCTCATTCCAGCCCTGCCAAAACCTCACTAAGATGTTGTGCTACCAACAGCAGTGCTTTCCTCCTCTCCACCAGGAGCACATCTCCATTAAGTGCCCCCAAACACACCCTCTGATGCACAGATGGCAGTCAGCAGTGTGCACCCCGCAGTATGTGACCCCCTGCACTCCTCGGCAGCGGTTTCTGTCATCCAGCTTCTCCCCGCAGCAGTGTGTGACCCAGTGCATACCACGGCAGCAGTATGCAACCAGGTGCATTCAACAGCAACAGCGTGTGACCCAGCACATCCCACCCGCCAGGTGTGTGACAACCTGTGTGCCACAGCAGTCATGTGCCACCCAATGCACGTCGCAAGAGGCATGTGTGACCAAGTGCGTGCCCCAGCAGCAGTGTGCAACCAAATTCATCCCACAGCAACAATGTGCAACCAAGTGCATCCCGCAGCAACAGCATTCAACCCGGTGTGTGACCACATGCATGCCGCAGCAGCCGTTCCTGACCAAGGGAATCCACCAGCAGCACAGTGCGACCGTGTGCATCCCGCAGCACTGCGTGACCACATACACCCCACACCAGCAGTGTGCAACCAGATGTGTGACCACATGTGTGCCACAGCAGCGTGCCACCAGGTGTATCTCGCAGCGTTATGTGACCGCTTGTGCCCCGCAGCAATGTGCCACCAAGTGCATCCCACAGCAACAGTGTGCAACCAGGTGTGTGACCACGTGTGTGCCTCAGCCATGTGAGACCAACAGCGCAAGCGTCTGTGTCCCGCAGCAGCACCAGTGTGCCACCAAGAACATCCCACAGCAGCACCAGTGTGCCACCAAGGTCGTCCCACAGCAGCACCAGTGTGCCACCAAGGGTGTTCCACAGCAGCACCAGTGTGTCACCAAAGGGATCCCACAGCAGCACCAGTGTGCCACCAAGAACATCCCACAGCAGCACCAGTGTGCCACCAAGGGCATCCCACAACAGCACCAGTGTGCTACCAAAGGCATCTCACAGCAGCACCAGTGTGCTACCAAGTGTGTCCCACAGCAATGTGCCACCAAGGGTGTCCCGCAACAGCAGCAGGGTGTTACCAAGTGCGTCCCACAGCAGTGTGCCACCAAAGGGATCCCCCAGCAGTGCCACTGTGCTACCAAGTGCATCCCACAGCAGCAGCACCAGTGTGCCACCAAAGGAATCCCACAGCAGCACCAGTGTGCCACCAAGGGTGTCCCGCAAAAGCAGCAGGGTGTTACCAAGTGCGTCCCACAGCAGTGTGCCACCAAGGGTGTCCCACAGCAAAGTGTGACTCAATGTGTCCCACAGCAGCCTTATCAGTCAGGTGGAGTAAAAATTTCAAGCCATTCTAAGAAATACTGCTCTGCATCCAAATGGCCCTGGTAAAGAGGAGCAGGGAAAAGGAGGGTCCATGGAAAACCAGTGAGGTATGGCTTTGGGGCAAAGTTATTTATCTTCTTGTATCATCTGACAACTTATTTCTATAGTTAAATTCTGCTTTATCTCTGTTTTCCAGTCCTTTCCCTGTAGCTCAGTTCTGTTTTGGGCCAAGGTGAAATATTATTCCCTGCATTCCAGATATCTGTGGCTTGTTACTTAGTCTGCTGCAAGAAGTAGTTTAGTGGGATGTTACTGAATTCTCACCTCAATGAAAGGAATAGTTTTAATAGGGGAAAAAAAGTAGAAATGCCAAAGGAATCCCTCTGATGACAGCATCAAGAGGACCAATGGAGTGGCCAACAAGGGCTCTGGGCTCAGTCCTGGCCTCAGGAGATGATACCCAGGCTGTCCCGGATTCCCCAAGGCTGCACATTCTCCAAAAGAGTCATTTTTGCTCACAGATTTGGAAGCCAAATGTAAATTTGCTAAGCAAAATGTATCTGAGTCTTGTTCCAACAGCCTTCATTACAGGAGGTGGCCAGCAATCCCTGCTGACTCCGCACTGACTTCAGCGGAGTCCCCGAGTGAGGCAGGATCTCTGGTCAGAGAAGTTGGTTCTGCTGAAACTTTGTACGTGAAAAATTCTTTTTTATATTCACTTGGTTGCTTTGGTTATTGTGGAAAACAAAGCCTGAAACAAATGAAAGTCTTGGAAATCAGACTGAAAGCTGTAGCACTACTCCTTTATAAATGTTTGAGATACCGAAGTGATAAACTATGTTCTTTATGCTGCCTGAAGATGTGTACTCTGCATTGTATTGAAAACAAACTATATATATGTATACTTATGATATACATATATATATATACCTAAATAAATATAGTTCTCTGACCTCAGAGTAAACATTTTGTCTTTTTGCCCTTTGGTGGTTCTTCTTTATTACAAACATTGTCTGTGCAAAATACAAAAATCCTATGGCATGCCCTATCATTAAGAGAATGAATCGGAGGCTGTTCACGCCAAGCAGATGATGCCTTTTGGGAGAGCCAAAACAAGTGATGCAAGAGGAGCTGGGTGTGACTCAGGCTGGGACGCTGCCTTGAATCCTGCCTGGTTCTGACCCACTTGGTGACCTTGGGGTGCCATCGTGGGCTGTGCTGGGGGATGAGGGATGGCTGTGGTCAGAGTGGAGCAGCTGTGTCCTGTGGGGTGCAGGGTGTGATGGGAGCTGAGATCCCACCTCCTCAGAGGGCACAAGGAAGATAACTGGGGATGGAGCATGAGTGGCACTGACCACAGCTCTTCTCTCCTGTGTGGAGCTAAGGATGGTCTTGCAACCCAGTGCTTTGCATTCCTTTATGGGAAGACCATCACTGCAGGCTTTGGGGAGACTTCACACCACTGTGACTTCCCTGTAGGAGTTGGAATGACCACAAGAATCACCCAAGTTGCAGAGCTCATCCCATGGGGTGGAGTAGCCATGAGAGCACAGAGCTCACATTGAAGCCTGGCGCTGGCCCTGACTCATTGGGTGACTGCAGAGCGGTGTGCCTCGATTTCCCCTGTGCTTAATTGGGAATAATAACAGCCCCCACAACTCTGCCCTGCGCTACGCTGTGTGTCTCCCTGAGATGAAAGGATTTTAGAGGACTTCCCAGATGCTAATTAAGAACGTTTGGATGACAGAGCACGATGCTATCATCGGGTTAGTATTTTGTTACCTTACTGGAAACACTAAAATATGTATTAGGATTACTTGAAGGCTACCAGACCTGGTTCTACAGTATGAACTGGATTTATGGAGCTTATAAAAATGTTCTTAATCTGCTTAGCTGCTCTTTCATTCCTGCTCTTGGTTCCTAAAACCTTGGGTCAGATCATTTAATATTAGGAAGGGACATTTCATGGTAAGGAAGATCATTTAATTGTAAGAAGGGTGTTGTAATTCAGGATGAAGCACAGCTAATGGAAGCACGGGTAGGAATGAGTGCTTTTGTCTTCAGTTGTGGAAAACAAGGTAAGCCTGGAGAGTGCACGTGTCCCTTTGGTTAATGTTGCTCTTGGAGCTTGGTTTCCTGGCACTCTATGATTCAGCAGCTGGAGATTTTCTCCTTCTTATGGGTGAGAAATTTTTCACCTTCTCCACCAAGGGGACACATTTCAACTCTTTGTGTTCCAGCAGGGAAGGCCTTTCTCAGATTCCCAGCATGCTGGAGCACAGTTGATAGGCGTCTAATTGGCATAAGCCAGGGCCTTTGCTTATGTAGACATGGTTGTGTTAAAACTCATTCCCTGCCAGCACTGGATGCTGCTCTTAATTTCCTCTTGGGTTTAAAACTAGTATAAACAGGGAACAAAGAGCAGGAAAGGGGATCTGTGTGTTTAGGACTGCAGGGATTCAGCTATCCTTCCCAAGCTGTCCCAGTGCTGCCCCTCTTTTCTGCCCTTTGTTGTGCTGGGAAGGCATCCTCTCTCAGCACAGCCTTTCGTTTGGTGTGGGTCATTCCAGCAGTGGCCATGCCCTTCACCCAAGGCCTCTTAGTCCCAGTCACCCTCAGCTCCTGTGCAGGTGGAGGAAGTCTGCATGCCACAGTAATTACGGGCTGCAAGAAGTTGATGAGAGTCCTTCCTGGATGGTGTTTTCAAAGGCACCAAAGGGCCTTATGCATGCAGCTCCCATGGAAATGAACAGTCCCTTGGGCAGCCCAGACCCTTTCCTCTGTTTATCTCAGCCAGTATCTTTTTCTCTGTAGAAAAGCACAATTTTACTGCCCTGGAGTTGCCACAGTGAAGCAGAGGAGCTGTTGCACAACGCACGGGGACTCACAGCATCAGAGCCACTAACAGCACATGCAGGGGTTGCCCTTGGCCATCCAGGTGCTCTACTTAGCATGGGAAGAAGCAGGATGTTCTCACAGGGTCTTCCAACTCAGCAATGTCCCCATGGTCCCTGGTGACAACAGCACGGCCATTCCCTCCAGCATGAAGCTGCACGTGGCCTGGCTGGTACTGGCAGCAATTAGAGCATCGCGGGCCAAACCACCTCACCCTCCAGGGCACTTATTCACTATATAAAAGCTCAGCCTTCACGGGGCTCTCCTAGGCACTTCTCTCCGGTTGTTCTCACTGATGAAGTGGGTAAGTCTGGCTTCTCACAGAGCTGCTGAAATGTTGCTTTTTTCCCCTGGGTGGCTGCAGCAGGCGGTGGTCCTTTGCTCATGGAGATACATCCTATGGGGATGTGTGTGGCTCTGACATCAGGAACAGCTCTGTGCTGAAGGGAAGGATGTTGGGCAAGCACCTGCTGAAGGACTGAAGAATTGGGAACGGGATTTGTGGGCTTCTCTACGCTTGCTGCTAGGTCTGGTCCAAAGGAAGCTATGGGCTGCGTGAGGGGCTTGGTGCTGCTGGGAGTCAGGCATTGAGCCCACATGCAGAAAGGCGGCTGATCTAAAGGATCTGGTGGAATTTTTCTGCCATTCCATGGAATTTGAACAAAGCAGCTTTTCAGAGGACAGCAAGAAGCCTATCAACTTCAGGATCAGCATGAAATCAGCAGAGATTCTCCAGACAAACCTGAACGTGTTTACATTTCTCCATAGGCGAACAGCCAGGGATGCAAACATCTCCCTGGATGTGAATAATCCCCCTGTTCTAGAAGTTTTTTATCTTGCTGAGCATCACCAGATGCTTTGGTATTTTATGTGCAGTAGTAGCATTGTGATTCTTGTTTTTCAATGGCTGTTTGTATTAGTCAATGATTATTGTAATCATAGTGATAATGATAGCAACACGCAGTGATGTTATTATTAACAGTCACCCAGCAACAGGCTTTTGGGCTGTAATTATAGATAGAAAGAGGGGTGCTCAGAAGATGCACTTTTTTTATGATCACTTAATTACAGACTTTAATTCCTAAATAACTTCAAGATGAAAACAAACAAAGAAAAATAAAAACCTGAACATTTTCTGAGGCTTTTCATATGCCATTGCTTCCAATACCTGGGCAGGACTGGGGTGAAATCTGCCAGAGATTCTGCCTTGATGCTCCTCCTTCCTTCCTTGGTTTGACCAAACAGAACGCTTCTGCTGCTCTTCTCTTCTTACTTTTCTTGATGCTTGCCCACACGACAGCACAAAGCAGGGATTGCAGAGGTGCTGCTATGGTATAAGGGACCAGGCACCGATTGCAGCTCAGCTCAGATGTGCTCCACAAACCTGTCCTCACCCTCAGCCCTTTTAACCACGGTTTGTCTTTGTGCTGCTGAGCTGCAGCCACGCCTGAGGATTGCAGCATGGGCACACCTTTAATTCTGGCTTGTCTTTCATCCTCAGTGCTTGGGAGGTGCAGGATAGGAACTTGAAAGAATGTCCCAGTGGGGATGGGGGAGGTTTAATATTTAGCTCATTTTTGAAGGGCAGAAAGCAGCTGCTTTGTTTTCCTGGCTCTGGTTGTTTTGGAGCTCATCAAGATATAGGGGAGGGAGCTGAGAGCAGCTCCCCTGGGTAATCCCAGGTGGGTTCTGAATCACCTACAGCCAGTGACCTCCAGCAGGACTGGGTGCAGGCATCACCAGGAAACAGCCAATGTGGGTGTGAACTGTCCCTCTTTTTCCTGCTTCTTCCAGGCTTAACAACCTCCCAGGACCATGCACTATTATGGGGAGAGGTACAAACAGCTGTACCTGCCGGGCTCCAGCTACGTCACCGAAAGCCACCAGCATTGCACATCCCAACCTGATGCATGCAGCACCACATGCCACCCGCTGAGCATCATCAAGAGCCCGATGCCCAGATGGCAGAGCTACGTGCAGCCTTTCACCTACGTGTGCTCACAGCCCAGTGTGACCCACAGCACGCTGCTGCCCTGCCAGCCCTGTGTGCAGCAGTGTTTCATGCTGTGTCCGGAGCCCTGTGAGACCACACGTCTGCTGCCCTGCAGGAAGCCCAGCGTGCGGCTCAGCCCTGCTCGAGCTCTGCAGTCCTGTGAGAACGGCCACTTGGA